AAGTGCAGTCCACTTAGGATGTGTTGACCTTAAACCACCAGTATCTTTCCACATAGGTTGGCTGCGGGCAGTGTCGGAGGCCCGAAACAGAAAACGGGCCGCGGATTTGATTCATCGACGGCGGGCCTCCCCGGCTTGGCTACCGCGTTACCCGGCGCGTCTTAGATTTGAAGCGGGGAAAGGTACTGGTGGTTTAATAGTGAAGTGATGTATGTTGGCTTAATAATATCATAATACTATAATAGTAATATCATAATATGTCCTTTGGGACATCGGTCACAATTGGAACAATACAGAGAAGATAAGTATGAGCCCAAATAGTTATATCATTATGGGCCTCGCCACCCCACTGTCGAAACGAAAAGAGAACAAATGCATCCGCCCCAGAAAGCGGTAAGATGCATCCGTTGTTATTCATAGTAACGGATGCATCTTGCCCTCCTCCGCAGGAAGATGCATTCGTTTGTTCGTTTTTCGTTTCGACAGTGGTGTGTCGAGGCACTATATCTGCACTTCTCCTGATGGACAATGTGTGAAAATGCATGGAAATGTGAAACGATCAGGTCAATCCAAGAACATGAACTTTCGTACAGGGGTATTTTGGAAAGTTGGACGGGTACCCGGTAGGGGTACATTGCAAAGAATGTCGGTCCAACCGAACCGAAGGGTATTGTGCAAAGATTTTTAATTCAGGAGTAAACTGAAAATGAATTGGATCCTTCAGAAGTTGGCACGTACGGGGGTATTTTGGAAAGTTGGACGGGTACCCCGTAGGGGTATATTGCAAAGACGGTCGGTCCAACCGACACGAAGGGTATTGTACAAAGATTTTTGATTGTCGGAGAGGCATTCTGCTCTACGCACGTCGAAGGGGCATTTTGGCATATATCTCGGCTTTGAGGGGTATACTGCAACTTTGCTCTACAAAAAAAAAATGAAATTTAATTTTCTTGAATTTGTTCTTAATTTGGTAAAGAGTTCCGATGTGACCCTGACGCATGAGCTGCTCAGTTTATTTTTCTGCATAGCATAGTTAAAAAAAAAAAAAAAAATCCAGTTTTTTTCTTTTTTGCTGGGAACGTCCCTGGTCCTTGCCGGGCTGCGCTGCCCAGACAACCAAGGTGACCCATGCGAAGCCCAGATACTTGTGCAAAAGAGAGCTTGGCATGGCGGCGAGTCACATATTTAGTGTGATACTGTTTTTTTTTTTTTCCCCATCTGGGACCTGTTTCGCCCTGACTTATACCTGGACTTATCGCCATGTGCTTATCGCAGAATGCACCCAATGGCTCTTTCTTCGTTCTGCATGCCTGTGCACATAACCCAACGGGAGTTGATCCGTCTACTGAGGAGTGGAAGGAGGTGTCCAGCCTCTTCAAGGTGAGACAATTTTTTCTTCTTGTTCTTCTTTTTTTTTTTTTGTTGGGGGGGGGGGGGGGGGGGGGCTCACTAAGCCTTACTCCCACTGATGTCAAAGTTTTACTCACGCTGGTGTTGATGTCAAATTCCTTGGCATACATCTTTGATTAGTCGACTACCTTCTTCCGCCAAAGAAAACATAGGGTCATTATAGCTGTATTTGGGGCATCTTTCAGTCCAAATACAGCTATAATGACCGTATGCTGTATTCAGGGGGAAGAAGGTAGAATATTTCTCATGGTGTTCGAAGTTTCACAAACGTTGTGCCAAAATAATGGAACGGCCGCAAAACTGTATCTTGCCCAACAATCGCCATCCATTTGTAAGGGAATTTCAGGGAACGTGGTGGACTGTGAGGCTAGGTGCTGTTCTATTCACAGGCATGCCAAGTGGTGGTGTGCAATGCCCCAGGGCATGGGAGCATGTCTGCTTGGTCGCAGGGGGACTGCGATGTGGAATGGGTAGGAATTCAGTCCTTTACGGTTCTCGATACCCCTTTATGATATGATATCCTTTCCCCGGTCTCTGTCTGTCTGTCTGTCTGTTTGTCGATCCCTCTGTCCGTCCGTCCGTCCGTCTCTCTCTCTCTCTCTCTCTCTCTCTCTCTCTCTCTCTCTCTCTCTCTC